CCCTAAACCCTAAACCCTTCTCCGAGTTACATATACCTGGACATGCTCAAGGCGGGGGAGGGAGATCTTCAGCAGCCTTGTGAAGGCGGGTCGAGATTTCCTGCCCAGAGAGCCCAAGACCCCTTAAATAAGGAATATACCTTAAAGTCTAGGGGCCTTAAAGGGATCTATAAGGGTGTAGGGTTTAGGGTTTAGGGTTAAGGAATATACCTTAAATTCTAGGGGCCTTAATATTATGATTTAAGGTATATTCCTTAATTAAGGGGTATTGGGGTCTCTGGGTGTGTTCTCTGTCTGAGTGCTGCTCTCGGCTCCTTTCGTGCGAGGCCAATGAATGGGCCGAGAGGTCCGGTGCGAGAGAGGCCGGGCCATCTTTGCGAGGCTCCAGCCTTGTTCCGTCAGAATTGCTTGGTCCCAGCCCGAGAGCTTGAGGGAGAAGGCGAGGAAGAAAGGCGATGGCGGGACAGCATCGCAGGCAGCACGGATTGCACCCGCAAGGCTTTCTGTTTATGTAAAGTTAAATATTGGCCAGCTTGGCAAATAGACCCGAAAACCCGAACCCTAAGCCGTACTTGTGCCTTGTGAGCGACTTGTTTTCGGGACTGCGCCCACGAAAAGCCAAGCGACTTTTGCTTCTTAGGGAGGCTCTAGGGTTAAGAGTTTAGGGTTTATGGTTGAAGCTGAAGAAGCACAAAAACCCACAAGTCTGAACACCTCAAAGCCCGACAGCCCGGAAATGCCAGAAGTCTGAACTCCAGAGCCACAAAAACCACGGAGAGCATCGCCAGGGTTTAGGGTTTAGGGGTTAAGGGTTTAGGGATTAGGGGTTAAGGGTTTAGGGTTTAGGGGTTAAGGGTTTAGGAAGCCCTTAACGCATGGCTTCTGCCTCGAATGACTTCTTCTTCGCCCTCGTGGGACCCTTCGCCTCAGGTGAAGAAGAGGTTGGCAAAGGAGCCGCTCTTACGGCTCATCCGTAGCATGTACTTGCTACTTGTAGTGTAGTCAGCACATAACGTGGGAGTGTCAAGCATCTAGCACACCGCAGCATAAATCGTCAATGGTAAGGTCGTCATCACTTTAATAAAGAGCCCTAGATTGACCCCTATGCTTGGGTTGCTCCGCAAAGGGTCCAACCAAGAGTTGTAGTGGCCATGCATCGCAAGCATCATTGTGTAAACACAACAGTGGTCACTGTCATTTTTTACACTGGTTATGTACATGATGTGGCCGCAGCAGCTACGGCGATGGCGATGATAACCCCTAAACCCTAAACCCTAAACACGCATATGGGTAGTTGTCAAAATTATGGTCCCTTTTGGGGTACCCTAAATAATAGCTGCCCTATTGTAATAAGGACCAAAAAGGGACCATAATTTTGACAACCACCCATATGTTGAAAAAACTGGGTGCTGCACCGCAAGATTTTGCCCGAGCCCTTGTGTGCCCAGAAGCGCCAGTCTGAAGCTCATAGATTCTCTCAAGGGACTAAAGGAGGGACCCTTAAAGGGACCCTTGGGGTTATATAGGGACTTTCTGAGACCATATAAGGGGGGTTTTAATGGTTATATACGGTAGTAGGATCAGGGGTCCCTTCTAGGGGTCCCTCCTATTGTCCCTTAATTTTCCCTGCTGCTTGATGGTGGGCCCCGGGGCAGGAACCGAAGACAAAGGCTAAGGCGAAGGCCAAGTGCAAGGCCTTTGGGAGACCCGATTTTCGAGAGGTTTCGAAGATGATGGGCCCGGAAGCCAGACCTCCGAAGGATCTGTGGCAAAGTCTGAGAAACCCCAAACCCTAAACTCGGTCTCAAGGGTCGTCTCGCTTTTCGGCGACAAGGTAGAGGCAGTGTAGCACTTTCCCAATGTGCAGGAAAAGGCTGCGCAGAGGAACGCAAAGGCGAAAGCGAAGGTGAAGGCGAAAGCGAAAGCCAAGGCGTGTGTCGCGTGTCGGTCGCCGGATTTGGAATTCGGTGCGGTTTCCGGATTCGTTCTGCTCTTTGTACCATGAAACTCTAAACCCCAAACAAACCCTAAACCCTAAACCCCAAACTCCAAACCCTAAACCCGAAACCCTCTTCTTCACGGCGTCTGGCTCGGCCAGGCCGCAGACACCAATACCTCCAACGAAGAGCCAGTGCACCATGCCGTCCGGGACTTGGCTCTTCCCTGCGCTTGGCCTTTTAAGTCTAGGGGGATTAGGGGTTTAGGGTTTACTAGGGTTTGCTAGGGTTCAGCAGTTCAGTAGGGTTCAGTAGGGTTTAGTAGGGTTTAGTAGGGTTCAGTAGGGTTCAGTCGTTAGGGGGGTTAGGGGTTGAGTAGGGAGGGTCGGGGTTTAGCCGCCCCTACTATCGAACCCCATTATAGATCCCTTCTAGAACCTTATAAGCCCCTACTATAGAACCCCATTATGGACCCCTTATAGAACCCTATAAGGATCCCTTTAATCTAGGACATTTTCAGGTGGGTAGTTACCGTTATAGGAGCCTTATAGAAGGTCTATAGACCTTATAGAAGCCTTATAGAAGCCCTATATAAACTCCCCACCTGTAGTTTCCTTTAATTTACAGGAACCGGCTTTGGGTTGCGACCTTCGGGCCAGGAGAGAACGACTCGCAAGAGACGCAAGCCCCTGCCAGCGAGCGCGGTTTCCGGATCTCCGAAACAAGGCCAGGCGGAGTTTAGGGTTTAGGGTTTAGGGTTGAGCGGCATAAGTTTGATATGGGTGTTCTATACGGAGTTCTACAAGGATTATTTTTTAATTAAGGGGCTCTGTGAGGGTTCAGGGTTGGGTTGAGACTTCACAGGGTTACAAGCAGAATTTGCATCGGGACATGGGAATGCATGGGACAGCTTGTCGGCCATGCATCTTGAGGCACTAACAATCACATCGTAGCATGTGATTGCATCTCTCACTGTCGTCCGGGCCAGAGCGTGTCGGTGACTTGTTGACTGCTTTGGCGCAAAAGCTCGTAGAGCTTTCCTGCCGGAGGTCCGCTCTGGAGATACTTTGGCCGGCGCCCGCGGGTCACCTGCCCCAGACTTCCTTGCTGCAGGGATGTGCGGCGTCAGGGTGAAATATGTCAACAGCAAAGATCTGTCTGCACAGATCGAATCCGGGCGCTGTTGCAACCCGGAAGAGTTTTGTAAGCTAATGTCTACAAGGCATCTCATCAAGTTCCTATGGGAAGCTAGGGTGGCATACATCCCAAAATGATGTTGACATTGCAATGATGTCTTGTAGCGCATATGCAACAAGCGATAGACGCGGCAATGGCAACACGGCGCATTGTGTCACATCTGTGCTTTGCCACGGACTGTTGTAGTTCATCTCTTCAAAAGGCGAGCACTCGGGTCTTCAGCATGAAGTTGGCCGCGAAGCCGTGAATCCAAACGTTAGGATCGACAATCTTGCTGCCCCAAGGTCGGCGAAGAACCAGCAGGAGTGGCTGCGGCAAAGGAGAACATGAAGGACACAACTGAGAAGAAGGGCGATAAGGAAAAGGAAGAGGAAGGGGACAAGGACAACGATAGGGAAAAGGATGAGGAGGACAATGAAGAGAAGGCGAGTAGAAAGCAGAAGAAGAACGACGGCACCGACAAGAGCAAGAAGAAAGACAAGAAAGACAAGAAGGCCAAGGACAAGAAAGACAAGGCGAAAGATGAGAAGGACAAGCAAACGGACAAGGATAGGACAAGGCAACAGGATAAGTTGAAAGAAAAGCAACATGACCAGAACGACATTGACAAGGGAAGGAACAAGCGAAAGGAAAATGACCAAGAGAAAGACAAGGACAAGGATCAAGAGAGACACAAGGAGAGAGCAGAAAAGAATGACAAGGCCCGGACCGACTCTTTCAGCCATGCTCGGTCTCGACCCCGGGCCCTAAAATCTGGCTTTAACCCTCGACTCTAAACGCTAATTTCAATCCCTAAATCCGAAGCCTCAACCCTAAACCCTAAACCCTAAACCCGAAGCCCTAAACCCATTAAGCATTGGATCCTCAACCCTAAACCCTAAACCCTAAACCCGAAGCCCTAAACCCATTAAACATTGGATCCTCAACCCTAGATCCTGAGTTCCCTAAGCCGCGCACATCCTGCACGGCCACGTGAAAAAGCGTACGAAGCCCTATGAAACCCCTGCGACCGGCCTTGAAAAAAACCAGAGTGCCACGCAAACCCCTCATTAGGGTTTAGGGTTTGGGGTCGAGCAAAACGGGGTTTTGAGGGTTTTGGAAGATCCTGAACCCGAAATCCTCGAAGTCTTAAACCCCAAGCCGCAATAGGCCGAAGAACACCCTGCAGAAGTTTACAAACGTTTTTATAAACCTCCATAGAGCACCGCATCAAAACGTTTCCGAGACTGTACAAAGCAGACTGAAGAGATTCCTGAACCACCAAAAACAACTTAACGGTTTAGGGTTTAGGGTTTAGGGGGTTGGGGGTTTAGGGTTTAGGGTTTAGGGTTTAGGGGGTTTAGGGTTTAGGGTTTAGGGTAATACCTGAATATACTTGATAAATCCTTGAGCAAGCCCGGATAACCATCCTTAACGTCCGAAGCAGGCTAGAGAGATGCCAAAATCCAGTCAAAGCATCGCAATCCCTTTTAAAGCCTTCTAATCCTCAATCAAAACTCTACAAAAAGGTGTTTGGGGGTTTAAGGCTTCCTTCGTGTTCCTTTAGGGCAGTGCCAGGCGCAGCTGGATGTACCGCTGGTTGTGAGCGGCTGCGTCAACAAAATCGTCAGCGAGCAGGTGAAGGGAACCTACTTTCGGCACGGCACCAATCATGGCAAGCCAGTCTACAAGAAGAAGCCAAACGACAAGCCTGCAGATGTGCTAATATACTACTGGGATGAGCGGGATGGTGAAAAGTTCTGCGGTTGGTGGTTCAGTCCCCGTGTGGGCAGCGACCAGATTTGGGCACATCACCCAAGTCGCAAGGCGCGGCCATGGCGCGTAGTCCTGACGTGTAATGTCAACACATGCATGGTGGGTGAGGGTGATGGGGTGAGTGTTTCGATCTGCAGGCGACATCGCCGCCACCTGCGGGGTGGAAGGTGCCTTATGACGGGCCCATTGACAAGAGCTTCACAGTGACAGCTGCCCCCCAGCTTGCCAAAGAGAGCCAAAGGAGCCTGAAAAAGGAAGAGGCGAAAGACAAGAAAGATGAGGAAGTATCGCGACCCAAAGAGGCGCCTCTTTCGAAAGACGATGGCTCCTCAGACGATGCTCGCGCAAGTAGGAAGCCGAAGGACTCGAAGGACTTGACGGCTGAGCGAGAGCTGGAGTTGCGGGCGGAGGACCGGCAGCTCCTTTTAAGGCAGGCTGAAGAGATCCCGGAAGGGTCCCCCTCGAAGCCGGCCTTCTTCAGCTTACGCTTCGACGGGAGCGAGGTGCTGTTTTAGGATTTGGGCTCAAGGTTTAGAGTGTATTCAGGAAGTGTCGCTTTTGTGGGTCTTCATGGGCTTTTGCAGGGGCTTTGAACTGTGCTCCACGTTGTTTTTTTGAGGCGAGGCTAGGGTCGAGGGGCTACTTGAAGGATCGGGGGGACTTATTGAGGCTGAACGTAGCTGTTTTCAAGTCTTGCAGCGTTTGAAATCCATGATCCTGCAGGTGCAAGCAAAGGTGGGCCGCATCTACGACCGTCTGAGTGCACGTGGCTTCCCGGTTCGAATGGTGAGGGCTAGGCCGGGAGACAATTTCGGGGACATGGTGACGGCGTATCTGGCTGAGATCAAGGAGAAGGGTGGGGCGCTGCTGCCTGTCTGTGTCGAAACCTATGGGGAGGAGACTCGCTCTCCATACTCGACCTACGAGGAGCTCAAGTTTGCAGTTTCGTGGAAAATCCGAATCGTGCCCCTGAAAATGTCGGAGGTTTATCCACCGAGGCCGCCCGGCCAGCAGGCCAGGGGTCTCATCGACAGAGCCATGCCGCCGGATCTGGCATATCTGGACTGTGGAGACAAGACGGAGAACGAGATCGCCGATGAGATTGCCAAAGTGCTACTGCGACTCTAGCCAGACGCGTTCATGGATGTTTGAGGAAGCCAGACGTGGCCTGATCTGGTGGCCAGTGATTGGCAAATCCAGGATTTGTTCCTCCTCAGCTGAACTGGAAGAACTGTTCCTCCGAGGATACCCCGATGAACCCTTGTCTTGCCTTGTGCAGCTGCCTCCTACAACCTACCAGTTCAACATTCAAAGTTCTCCTCGTCCTCCGGCGGAGGTCTTTGGATCTTTCCGATTGCACGACCGATTTCGCGGGCGATGTCACGTCTGGTACGGTGCGTGCATGCTGCACAAGTACTGTTGGGGCAAGTGAAGCAAGGCAGCAGCTGCTTAAGTCGTGGCTACTTGGAGGATCATGGGACTTAATAACTGGGGTTATAAATAAGGTAACTATACTTATAAGTGGTAGTTATAACCTTACTTACTAAGTCCCATGATCCTCCAAGTAGTTCGATGGTTGCAGCAGCTGATTGCGAACGCGCTGCGAGCGCAGGTGGCGACCAGTTCCAACAAGTCGGAGATCCCGATCCTGACCCAGTAGGTGGGAGTGACGCTGCGTGCTGGCGTCAAAAGGCAGCAAACAGCCTGCTGGAGTCGCTCTAGTGGCTGTCTTGAGCCGGCGAACATTCCGATTTGCTGCAGGGCGTGCAGAGCTTGACGAGTCCCTGGTGGGAACAGTCGCTGAGAACTTTGGGCCTGACAGTGAGGCTCTCGCTGCCTTGCTCGCCTCGTCTTCGGACGTCCCGTGAGTTGTGGCTTCAAAGGCGCCCTGTACGGCGGACGTGGCTCTGAGCGGCCTGCCGCAATGCGGCGTCCTGGTGCCAGAGCGTCGGACACCACAAAGTTGGAATCCACCTGAGCTCGGCCAGAGCCCCGAAGCAAAAGCAATCTGCATGGCGGTGGGTCGATATCGTGGGGCTGCCTGGGGGGTATCACAGAGAGGCGGACATTTAAGCGAAGCTGAGGGCCCTCTTTGCGCTCCGACTCTAGCCCAACCCCTACGTTTTCCACCTCAAAGTTTAGGCCTAAACTTGAAGCCCTGGCTTTAAGCCAAGGTATGTCTGCGTCCGAGCTTCGTGCCCGGCTTCTGGCCAAAATTCCCACGCTCCTCCTGGATGTGAGGCCGGGGCTATGGCAGGCTCACCAGAGAGCTCAATGGTTCAGGGCTCAGTGCTGACGTAGCCTTAGGCTGTAAAGGCTTAAGATACCGGATGATACCGGGGAACGAACCCAGAGACTCCAATACCCCTTAATTAAGGAATATACCTTAAATTATAATGGGATCCCTAATAAGTTTTAAGGTATATTCCTTAATTAAGGGGTGTTGGAGTCTCTGGGAAGCCCCAAACCCTTGTGCAGCATCGGACGTTCAGGGGCGAGCCTCAAGTCCTGCACGCTAACCCTTGAAATCTTAGTCCCTGAATCTAAAACCCCAAGTTCTATCACCCAAAGCGCTTCGCCGCCTCAGCCCAGAGCCCTTAGAATGCTCTTATACATACAGACGTTGTAAAGCCCCTATACAGCTTATCGACCTCCTCGTAGAGCCCTAAAGCACCCCCTCCAAGTCTCTTCCTGGCGATCCCGGAGGCAGCCCAGCCACTTTGCAGTTTGCCGGTTGCAGGCCGACTTCGAAGCTAACAATGAAATGCTTGCTGTACTTTTGTCTACAGCTCCTTGAGATTGGGTGATTCTTGCAAGTTTTTCTGATAGGGCTTTTCGGCTAGACGGTAGAGGGCCAGCGATGCAGGGTTTGGGAAAGCGCCTAGGATAAAATGACAAAGCCCTTTGCAACCCCCGGTGAGAAGCTCCCGGCTCCCATCCAGCGGACACTTCCGTTTAGGGTTTAGGGTTTAGGGTTTAGGGTTTAGGGTTTAGGGTTTAGGGGTTTAGGGTTTAGGGTTTAGGGTTTAGGGTTTAGGGTTACTTCCGAACGTGAACTGGCACTGCCAACAGCGAATCGGCTCATCTTGCAGAAACACCACCAGCACAAGCTCACAATGTGCCTTGATGCTCGCACTGCCATAGGTTCTGACCTAATATAGGGGCCTATAATTACCAATGCTATTTTGGGGCTTCTTATTATAATTATGGTACAATATGTACCCTAAGACCCTATTCTGATTATTAAGGCCCTAGTTCTGGCATCGGAGACCCTTGACACGTGATCCGTCCTGTGCAGGGCGCCCACAACTGGCCACTCCGCAAGATCAAGTTTTCAGACGAGAAGGCGTGTGGAAGGATTTAGAGTGTTCGGGTTCACAGGCATTTAGTTTGTTGGGCTTAAGACTTTCAATTTCATCCCTAAGCCCTAAACCCTAAACCCTAAGCCCGGTTTAAGAGTTTTCTGTTTCAGGGTAGCCTCGGGTCGAAGGCTAAGGCTGCCGGATGCAGGGCAGTTGAGCCCGGGGAGGCTCTGAAGAGGCCCTGACAGCAAGCAAGCCCCAAAAGCTTAGGGTTTTAGGGTTTGGGGTTTATTAGGGTTTAGGGTTTAGGGCCAAAAGCTTAGGGTTTTAGGGTTTGGGTTTTAGGGTTTAGGGTTTATTAGGGTTTAGGGTTTGGGGTTTATTAGGGTTTAGGGTTTAGGGTTGAGCAAGCACTGCCCCGAAAGCCCACTATCCCATTACCCTAGCCTAACCTCTGAGTCCCTGTGTATGGATCCCACCTTAAGCCTTAAACCCTAAACCCCTAAACCCAATGTTAGAAATATGGATCCCTCATAGTCTTACTATCCAAAGGGCTCTACGTCCGAGCTCTTTCGGAGCTGCCCTTAAAGGCGTCCTGTTCTCTTCATGTTTGTATCCCTTATAGGCCTATGCTACCCTTGTAGAAGCATTATAAGACCCCTGAGCGAAACCATTCTGGAATTATGGAGCCCTTGAAGAACCCTTATAGAAAGCATTGTAGAACCCTTATCGAAACCTTGTAGGAGCCCTTGCAGAAACCATTGTAGAACCCTTATAGAAACCTTACAGGAACC